CCGGCGAAGGTTTTGGTTTGAAACCAGCTTTCTAGGTTTTCTAGGCTTTCTAGTCTTCTCGTTAAATAAGAAAAAGCAGGGCTAGCCGGCAGTCGAGGGTCGGCCCACACCCCGGAAGAGATTCATGCATTCACTTTTCAAGCTTTGTCAGTTCGTAAATCCTTAAACCCTAAACCCTGAACCCTAAACTCTAAACCCTAAATCCGTAAATCCAAGCACTGCTTCCACAGGAGTCGACTGGTGCAGCGGATGGCAATGATTCCGCAGAGCTCGGAGAGCACAAGGAGAACACATTTTCTGCCCCAAGCCACAGCTCTGTAGGTCCCACCAATGATCTTGATGTATTTCTAGCTTGGGCTTGGCCTGGCCGGCCTTGAACACATACAACCTACCCAGAACAAACATAACTAGCACAGCCTCTGTAGGTCCTACCAATGATCAGATCTTGCAGGAGTTGCCACCTGGTGGTGATGGTCCTGGTGACGGTCACACTGGCAGCGGTGACCGTCGGTCAGTGTTACAGGAGATCATGTAATGTGTTCACAGTGCTGGACCCTAATTGTTTTAACTCTGAATTACTTTAGGACTGTCGGCTGCGCGCGTGGTTTCAGCCCCCCGAGCCCCCGAGCTCCAGAGCCACCGAAACAATAACGAATCTACATGTCGGTCACCGTCCAGGAGCCTCCGGATTCTTCGCCTACGGAAGCGTCGGAGTCGGCAGAGGAGCCGTGAACATTTGAACACATAGAAGCCAACACAAACATAACTATAACTTGCATACCGCAACATTTGTTTGCCCTTCAAGCTTCACCAGTCCGTTGTTTCAACCAGTACTTCCGCAGGAGCCTACTTGTGGAGTGGGCGATGCTGATCAACTCGGAGACTCCAAGGACCTCAAGGATAAGGACTCCTCGCAAGCAGATGAGTCGGAGGAGGAGCCCGGGAACAATTCTTTCAAATTATCTTATGTCGCAGCATGTCGCATGTATGTTGTATCGTAATGTGATGTGAGTAACATCGTTGCTTTACTGATGTGTGTGTGTGTGTGTGTGTGCAGTGCTCGACCATAACTATGACCTCATATCATCACACCCAGGACGCGCACATGTCCCCGCACGACGAAGCTGCCTCGGACCCCAGCAGCTCAGAATCTTCGGGCGGGAGGCGCAAGCGCAAGCTAGCGAGCAGATCGAGCACCAGCCGTACGTCGTCGGCTACGCTGCGCGCCATGAGTGTCCGGGAGAAAGCCGCTAAGGCGGCGACAGCAAGGATGGAGATGCCTGTGTCTCTTGGCGGAATGGCAGCCGAAACGCCGACCTTCAATGCTGCCCCGGCGTCGCCTACGTTGTCGCAGATGGAAGCAACAGAGCCTACAAGCCCCGCTCGCTCCGTGACAACAGCTTCGCCTTCGATATCTCCGGCAAAGCCAGCGACTGGGGGAACCGCTTTTGTTACGACTGAGCCTTTGCCGTAGGCTGTAGTTCGAAGCGGTCGTGCTAGTGCTATGTTGTGGTGGGTCCATGGGTCCATGGGTCATAAAACTTCTTACTCATGAACTAAGCTGTACTAAGCTGCCTACTGCACCAAGCTGCCCGCTCCACCACTGCACTTAGTTGGCCCTCGCAAAAGCGAGGGCCACATCGTGCAGCTTTGCAGCTTTTCGCCGGCCAAGGAGCATCACAGCACGGCGCTGGTCAATTAGCTGCATGCACGCGCATCACGCGCGACGCGGATAAGAGCGCAAGACCGCCAACACAGAAAGTGACAGCACGTGATCTGTTGTTGTATCCTTTGGTGTGCTCCTTGCCCCTGCCCCCTTCACCGAAACCCAATCTCCAAACCACGAACCCAAACCCCAAACCACAAACCCAAACCCAAGCCAACACCTTTCCGTGACTGAGCATTGACTGCCATTGTATCATGTTGAATCATCCAAGGTTTGGAGCTATGACACCGAAGGCCGCCTGGATTTATCGAGTTTTCAAGTTACAGTTGTTGAATGTTGACAAATTGTGTTTCATTATACTTTGCGCAATGAAATAGTTTGAAGCAGTTTCATTGTTTTGTTTCACTGTTTCACTGTTTCACAGTTTTGTCAGATGGTTTCACTTGTGTCTCACACACATACACACATACATACATACATACATACATACATACATACACACATACATACATACATACATACATACCTACATACCTACATACAAAAGTTGGGTTGGGTGTACAGACGGGCTGGGTAGGTGAGCTGGGTAGGTGTCGGGACAGTGTCCCGACAAGTTGGTTGGGCGGGGCTGGGTGGGGCGTCGGGATGTCCAGACAGGCCGGTGACGGTCCGGTCGGGTGTCGGGACGGTGTCCCGACGGCCTTCGGATGCTGTCGGGGTCGGTGTCCCGACAAGGCGTCGGGTCGGTGTCCCGACGGGTTCGGGAGGGTGTCGGGCCGGTGTCCCGACGGCGTGGGTGGGTGTCGGGGCGGTGTCCCGACAGCCTGGGAAGGCTGGGAAGGCGTCGGGACGCTGTCCCGACGGGCTTGTCGGGTGTCGGGACGGTGTCCCGACGGCCTGGGTAAGCGTCGGGCCGGTGTCCCGACGGGTTCGGAGGCTGTCGGGTCGGTGTCCCGACGGGTGGGTACGGTGTCCCGACGGCTGGGAAGGCGTCGGGGCGCTGTGCCGACGGGCCGGTAGCGTGTCGGGCCGGTGTCCCGACAAGTTGGGAGGCTGTCGGGTCGGTGTCCCGACGGGGTGGGTGGGTGTCGGGACGGTGTCCCGACGGCCTGGGGTGTCGGGTCGGTGTCCGATTTTCGTTTTTGAAACGATTTGGTTTGCTAGCCCTCAAAGCCCGGAAGGCAAGTTTTTGATTTTCAACACATGCCTTTTTCCTTTGCGCATGCTTGGACGTGGCTGTGTTGAATTTCGCTTTCGTTTGCCTTTTTGGTTCAAGTTCCTTTTCTGGTCAAATTTTTCATTGAGCCTCGGGGCCGTTTCTTGCTTCGTACGGGCCTTCTAGAGTCCCTTCTTTCTAGAAGTCTAGCCTGGCTGCTGCATGTCGGCAGCCTCTCGGCGAAGCTCTTCGGCTTCCGGCGATGACGCCACTGATTCTTACAATGGCGACCATGATGCCGGGCGTCGTGCTGATCGTGCGTCGGCAGGGGTCTCTTCTGAGTTTTTGACTGGTATGCATGAGCCTGACATGGAGGACGTATCTTCTTGTGAGGATGTGCTCGTGGAGCCAGAGGCCAGTCCGGCTCCTGCGCCGACTCCTAAGGGACCTGCAAAACTTGGAGATGGCCCTCAGCCGCCGTATCTCCCAGATTGCAGATGAGCTTTGTGGCCTCGCTTTTCAGCTGACGCAAGTGCAAACCAGCCTTCGTGAGTTCAAGTCCGCTGTCACACGGAGGTTGGAGTCTTCTGAGGAACGCGCCTCTGAGGTGGAATATGCGGTTGCAGAAGTCTCGCAGGCTGTTACCCAGCTTGCGGTGGGCCGCTCCTGAACTTCAGGGCCTTGCCTCGAATGTTGTGCTGGTACATTTCACACTTTACAACATGTGTTGTGGAAGGTCTGTGCACGGTTTTGTTGTTACAAAAAGCCACTTAGCTCTCGGCGTCCTGGAAGGTGCTGGGATGCTGTACAGGCTCTAGGGGCTTCGAGCGTTAGCATCGCATACTGATCTTTCGTGGCCTCATTGTGAAAATCTCCGCCGGAGAATGCTGCATCAACAGCACCTTGCAGACTTTCGCATGCGCCTTTCCATGTCTGCCCGAGTCATGTTGGTTTCCACTTCGTGAGGGCACTTCGGTGCGGGTGTCTTCGCGTGGGCACTTGAGGGTTAACGCAACATGTTTGGCTTCAGAGTTTGTGAGCTGAGCTGCACCTTTTCTCCCCGTTCTTCGGCTTAGAGTGCGGGCTGCTGGGCGCGGGTCGGATTTTGGGGCGGGCCACGCTGGCGCCGTACACTCAGCTTTGGGCTTTCACGCCTGTGGTGCGTAGTGGCTCTCGGCCCGATTCACCCCCCCCCCGCCTTTCCTTTTCGACCTTTCCCGCTGTTTAGGTCGCGGTGGTGTTCGCTCTGGCTTTGGCCAGCTCCTCATTTTGAGTCCCGGTGGCTTTCCCCGGCGATCTCACGTGCACTCTCAGGTCTCGGCTTTCTTGGAAGAGCCTTGCTGCGACCCCAGTTGGAAGCACTGGTACCGTTCTTTCGGTTCCCGTTGTGCTTTCAGGTTTTCGCGACGGATCCGAGTGGTGGGTCCACTCCTCATCTTGATTCCTGCAGGCTTTGCCCGGGGATATCACGTGACTCGTCAGGTCGGTGCTGGCTTTTGCGAAGCCTCAGCGCCTGTCTCAGATTGAGCACTGGAACCGCAGCATTCTCGGTTCCCGTTGTGCTTTCGCTTTCGACGGCTTTAGGTCGACTGGTGGCTCACCGCGGTGATCTCCGGTTTTGGCCTTATGGCCGCACTCGGCTGAATCTCTTGCCTCAGCCTGACCATGTATGCGGAAGCATATCTTCGTTGTCAGGTCGTGACTCTCCCAGTCCACGCTTGGCTGGGACTGCGAGGCATCTACGCCCTCGTCGGCTGTGTTTTGCATTCCTCTGACCCCACCCTCTTCTTTTTGCTGTCAGGTTGGCCCTCTATGTCGCGGCGGAGTTCTTCACCTTTCTGCTTCAGGTTCAATAGGAGGCGCACATACAGTTCTCTTGAGGATGATCCGATCGATGATTCAAGCCCGCCTCCCTCGGGACCTGCGTTGGTCCAGCCGGCCTGGGCCACTGCCTCGGATCTTGCGGAACTCGCCCAGGATCTTCGATTGTGTATGTCACAGGCTGCAAACCTTGAGGGCAGGCTTCTTAATATGGAACATTTGGTGTGGCCTCCGAACTCTGACAGTTCTCTTTTGTCGGATGCGGCGGATCGGTTTCTGGCTATCGAACAGAGAGTCGCTGCTCTATCTGAGGGCTTGGATTCTGTGTCGCTTCATGTCAGCCAGACTGCTTTACAGATGGATGCATTGTCCTGGAGGTTGGATCGCTTGGAAACTCGTGTCAGGTTGCTCTGGGAAAATGTTGATGATCTGCGATCGGCTCTGGGCCTATTGGTTCCAACGATCACCGGTGATCCACAGGTGGCGGCGCAGGCACTATCAGATGCTCTCCCAGCAAGGTTGGCGCGGGCTGAACAGGCCCTCCAGTCGTTGTCTCAGCAGGATACGGCATCAGGGTCCAGCTCACTCCTCGACCGTGTGGCTCGCCTCGAGTCCTTGGTGTCGCGGCTGCCGGCGACCTTGAGCTCCGATACCCATAGCCTCCGCTCCGACTGACAGGTTGTGTTCACCGGGCATCAAGGCGATTTTGGCAAACTGCTCTGGAAAATTCTGCGATGCACCGGTTCTCGTTGAACCGTTTGCCTGGGCTCGCTGTGTTTGCTTGTGGATCAGCCTGTCGCTCTGACCTTTCTGCTAGGCTCAGGTTTTGGGGGTGGGTCTGCTTGTTCAGGGTCTCTCTGTATGATCATGGCCAGTCGCTGGCTGCCGGATGGAACGCCTCGCCAGCCGTCTTTTCCTGCACCAGTGCCGGCTCCGAGCCCGGCTCTGGCTCCATTGTTGCTACCGAGGTGCCACCGCGCGCCTTTGGCTTCGGAGCTCCTGCACCGTCACTGGCGCCAAGGTTTCGACCTCCGAGCCCTGTGGACGTGTCAGTGGTCTCTAAGGGCGGCTTTGCTCCGCTCCGCAGTGCAAGGGTGCTCCCAAACATGAAGGATTTTCCTCCTGCTCCGGCTCATCCTTACAAGCCGGCTGCACCGGGCACTTTGTTGTCGGCTTGGCAGAATGCCAAAAACGAGCAGCTTAAGGTCTGGCTGGCACTGGCATCCACAGCTGCTGCTGCCTCTGAAATGGTGTCAGAGCTCTTGCAGAGTCCGAATTCTTCGGTACTTCTAGTGCGCCTGGTTCAGGGGAATGCTCCGTCGACTCTCACCAACTACTTCGGACGCTGGAAACATTGGGTCGAGTTTTGCCAGGTCCAATCGGCAGATGAATGGGCACCCAAGGTTGCCTTCCTCTGCGATTTCCTGATCACGCACTGCAAAGGTCTTCTGGGATCGGCTATCGCGTGGCTCAAGGCCTTCAGGTTCGTCACTACGCGGCTGGAAGTCCAGTCATTCAAGTTGGCACTACAGTCTGAGGCGGTCCGAGCCTTTGGCAAATCCGTGAATGTGGTTCAGCGCCGAGAGACAGCACCTTTCCCGCTTTCCTTCGTCATTTGGTTGGAAAGGCAAGTGCTGGATGCGGCCCAGTTCGCGGCACATCGAATTCGGTGTGGCTTCCTACTGGTGTGCGTGTTCGCCAGCCTTCGCTGGTCTGATGCTCCGTGGTCTCCGCCTTCCTTTCTTCACTTGGATCGGCAGGCGCTTCTTGGATGTGCTACAAGGACGAAAACTACTTCTCGATCCATGCCGTGGGGAGCCTGGGCTCCCGGGTTTCTCGCTCGGCCTCAAACGGCACCCGGCTGGGGCCAGGTCTGGCTGTGTATGGTCCAAGAGGCGGTGACCCGTACTTCGGCCGCTCGCCCTGGGTTTCAGCCCGACTTTCTGGTGGCCGACTTGGGTCCTGATGACCGTGCTCCGGTTTTCTTGGCTCCTCTGAGCCGTGCTGCGGGGGTGGTCCTGATCCGCCGACTGTTGGCGATGTGCTATGAGAGCTACCCGGCGGATCAACGGCCGGACTTGTCACTCCTGGCGTGCATAGTGCCAAAGTCACGTTCCTATCCTTGGCCAAGCAGCTCTTGTTGGACGAAGCCTTGCGGCGAGAGCAAGGACACCACCGCCCGCCGCCGGGGCACGCCATGACCCGGTTATACGGCAGAGATGATGTTTCAGGTCCCCTGGCACTCCAGTCTTCTATCGTCCAGGCAGTGGCGAATGGATTCCGACCGCTGAGGCCAGCCCTCCGTGGTGGCGCGCCGCCACTCCCTGACATCACAGTTGCTGTGCCGGCTCTGGAGCCGGCCGCCTCGGACTCTCGAGCCCCTCCGGTGGTGCCCAGGCTCCACGACAGAGAGCCGTTGGTCCTTGATCAAGATTCGAGCTCTGATTCCGAAGATGATGCTCCGGCGGCTCCTGAGGTCGAGTCCACATCAGCGGCCCCGGCCGCAGCTTGGGAACTGGTCTCGTCCGGCGATGCGGCGCCTTCACCGCAGGATCTTGGTGAGCCGGAAGAGTTCGAATTTTTATTTAATCCAATGACGTCAATTGTGCATCTTGCCAAGCCTTGCCGGGCAGACCATCCAGCTTGTCAGTTCCGCCCAGCTCCGGATGCAGTTGGGGATGCTCCTCTTCGCCCAGGTTGCTCCATAAGAGGTAATCTGGCAATTGGAGCCTTAGTTCGGACATCTGTGATCCCGAAGGGTGCACGTTTGTGCTTGAAGCACGGGTGTGGGAAGGACCCCGCACTTGCATCCTTGCTGGACTCCTAGGTCTTGTTCGGGCGTGGTTGCGGGGCTTCGTTGCATGCCTGGGAATGCACGCTTGCACCCCGGGCCTTGTGCACGGTCGGAGCTGCTTTTGCATCTGCCTCGCCGGACTTGCTTCCTGGCATCTTTTGTTCGGCCGGTGTTAGTGCATTTGGTACTACGCGGCTCTCTGCTTTGTGCTAGACGAGCTCGGCCAACCGGCCGTGGTCTTCTACGTAACCTCAGGTTGCAAAAGCTGGGATCCCCGCTTGGTGCATTATGTTCTCTGCACTTCTCGGCATTTGGCAATCGCTAGCGTTTGGCTGCTAGGGACTTAAGAAAAGCCATGGCAGGATCCGCCGTCATGCTCGATGACCCGATGGTTTGGGAAGGCTGGGAAGGCGTCGGGACGCTGTCCCGACGGGCCGGTCGGGTGTCGGGACGGTCCCCACAGCCTGGGTAAGCGTCGGGCCGGTGTCCTGAAGGGTTCGGAGCCTGTCCAGTCGGTGTCCCGACGGGTAGGTGTCAGACGGGTTCGGAGGGTGTCGGGCCAGTGTCCCGACGGTGGGTGGTGTCCCAACGGCTGTCCCGACGGGACGGTTGGGTGTCGGGCCGGTGTCCCGGGTGTCGGGACGGTGTCCCGACGGCCTGGGAAGGCTGGGAAGGTGTCGGGATGATGTCCCGGGACGCTGTCCCGACGGGTTAGGAATGTGTCGGGACGCTGTCCCGACGGGCTGATCAGGGCTGGGTGGGTGTCGGGTCTCTGTCCCGAGGTTTGGGTAGGTGTCGGGACAGTGTCCCGACGGGTTGGATCAGGGCTGGGTGGGTGTCGGGACGTTGTCCCGACGGACCGGGAAGTGGGTGTCGGCTCGATAGGTCGGGACGGTATCCCGACGACTAGATAACATATACCCACGATCAATATGTTTGGTTACAGCCATAAGCCAGATGTGCTCATGATTGTTTACAGCAACCTATCGCCTCTCGACTCTCGATGCCCAATCCCACCACTGGTTTCAGGGGTTTCGGGTTTTTTGGGATGTTGGGCATGTTGAGATCTGCGGTGTTCCTTTTGCCGTGTAAGGTGCCAACTCCATGGCTTCGTTGCTGATGCATATCAGCTGGACGATCGGTGCGCTTCCTCCGCCCACTTGAAATTAATTACTGCGACTGCAGATGTCATGTCCATGTGTCTGTTCTGATTGCACACGCTTCAGTCGGAATGTTTAGATTGCAATGCGCCCGATGCTGTTTATTACAGTATTACAATGCCTACGTCATTGCTGCAACTTATGATGTTGTTAAGCTGTGTTGTCACAGTGATCATTCAAACAATCAACGACAACAACAACAACACATGTGTAGATGCGTGACATGTGAACTATTTTAGTCAACTAGTCAACTATATAGTTGGAACCCTGGGGTTGCCTTACGCTGCCATGGCATCATCAACGCAACTGATGTCAGAGACAGATTATCCATTGCTGTTGCTTCATGAACATGATAATCTTTGTTGCGCGTTGAAGAGACAATCATCTCCAACCTCGCTGGAGAAGTTTGTGATCTTCAGGACATTGGGACAGTGTGGGAGTTTTTGTGTGAGATTGGTTGTTATTCTTATCTGTGAGACTGTTGTGTTGCACAGGACATCACTGCCGCCAAAGAAGGTGACATCTCAGGATATGCCAACCATTGCATTGTTGCGCAAAGATACTGGTTCTCGTCAATCGCTTTTGATTGCAACTGCCAAGCTTGTGGATGCAGCGATCGTGTTTGATGGCACTGCAATGGTTGCGAAAAGCAAAGATCGTTTCCAATGCACAATATCATTGCAAGAGATTCGAAAAGATCTAAAAATCAACACAACAGACATGATTGTTGCGCTGAGATTTGTCAACGTGACCAAGCTCAACGTCACTCCGTGCTCATCGAAGCTGAGCAAGGGATGGGGTTTTGGACGTGTGCCGATTATCAGATACAGAGACCTGAGTGATTTTGTTCAGAAGAGACCACATGCAGACATTGGCCCAGCGGCATCTCCGCCAGTTGGCAAACGAATCAAAACCAAAACGTCTCCACAGTCGAGATCCGCCGCTCAGTCGTCTGCGGCAAGTGTCTGGACTGAAATCATTGTCTGTGGCTGTACAGGCTGTACACTGTAAACACATAATATACCAGTGCTGTTCTAACAAACGCAAGGTGTACAACAGGGTCCGGATGTGGTGGATGCGGCACAGACACAGATTCCTGAGTCCGATGCGGTGGTCGGTGTGATCACCCAGGAGACAACAGAGGCCTCACATAACGTAATTGTATATTGATTGAATTACACACATCCAATCCAACTTGCTGACACTGTGCCTGCAGGCAATGAACGCATCTGGTTTGGCTGTGGCTGATATGCAAATCCCTTCGAGGCATTGGTATCATAAAGTTAGTTCCATCAGTTTCATAACAGGTTCATGTGAATCAGTGGTTTCACAGGGCAGTTGCTAACACGATTGCTCTTTGCAGGCCGATCCCTACCGTGGTTCCAGCTGCATCGACTACAATACCGGACGCTGACGCTGCCCATGAATCTTCTGCTACTGTAGCTTAACACAGAACTGGTAGATTGTTTAGTCGATCTGTTTGCATGCCTTTGTCAGTGAGCAGTGTTGTTTTGTATTGGCGCTAGGCTTCAAATCAGCAACCGGAGCCGGCCAAGACAGACGCGCCAGATGAGGAGACCAATGAAACTCTGTGCCCCTTGAATCATTACCTCCACTTGACAGCGTGGTTGCGATACGATTCCAAAGCCTAGGTTTTGGGTTCTACGGTGGGGGCTGAGGGTTTGGGGCTTGTTGTTTACTAGGCTTTGGAGTCAGGGCCTCGAAAAAGGGCCAATGGCTTGGCTGTGGGGAACTGCTCGTTTGGCAGCAGAAATCACACCCGGAATCCAGGCCGCCATTAACAACAAGACACCCACTAAACCTTTAACTTAACCCGAACACCGCCGAACACCCGCAACACCCAAAGCCCAAAACACCCTAAACACCTTTAGGGCAGTTCGAACCCTGAAACATTACCTTAAGAAACAACCCTATAAACGCTAAAACCCTAAAACCCACAACAACCCTAAACCCTGAGTTGGCATTGAACTTGCCTTGAATTTGCATTGAATTTGTACCGAATTTGCATTGAATTTGTACCGAATTTGCATTGAATTTGTACCGAATTTGCACTGAATTTGTACCAAATAAATCAAACAAAGCCTATGCGCCTATGTGCTGTCGAATGCAGTGTGTTTCGAATGCTAAGGTGCTCCGGTGCAGGCTAACGTGGCTTCACCGGCTTCACCTGCTGTTGTGGATGCTGCGACTACGATACCAGACGCTGACACTGCCCATGCATCCTCTGCTATGGCAGCTTAACATAGAACTGGTAGATTAGTTTAGTCGATCTGTTTGTATGACTTTGTCAGCGATCAGCGAGCAGTGTTGATGTATATTGTGCATCAGGCTTCAGAGCAGCAACCGGAGCCGGCCAAGAGAGACGTGACAGAGGAGACCAATGAAACTCAGGGTTCCTTGAATCATTACCTCCACTTGACAGCGTGGTTGCGATACGATTCCAAAGCAGTGTGCTGTCGAATTCGAATGCAGTGTGTTTCGAATGCTAAGGTGCTCCGGAACAGACCGACGTGGCTTCCCTTGCTGTTGTGGCCGAAGATGAAGCTAAGCCTGCACTCAGCAAGCTGTTCGTCAGTCTTGCAATGTAGCGTGAGTGTCCAATGCCACCAACACACAGGCTCCAGACCATCAAATGGAACTGGATGACAACACGGGCGAAACCAGAGCATTCGATGAGACTCATTGTGCCATGACTTCAATACCAGAGCTTGACTTGACAGTGTTTGCATAATGCAAATCCCGGGCAGGTGCTGCGCCAATGGCCGTTATGAATGAGCGCGAGCTTGCAGCACTCAGCAGTAGTCACTGCGGTGACCCGCCGGAGGCAATGTTTCATTACTGTTGCAGTCGATCGTGTAGTGTGATTGGCGCTGTATCCAAAGCACAGGCTCCAGCTCCAGATCGACGCGCGGAACCAGATGACAACGAGACCCAAGCAACCGATGAGACTGATACTCCTGGTTCCATGACTCCATGTCTAGAGTCCAACGGCCAACGGCTTGCAACCATTTGTATGATACGGTTATGACCGCCACTGAAACAATAAGGTGCCAACGTGCAGGCTAGATCAAACTCTGCTGCAACAGCCGCTTGGGCTGAAGATTGTGAACTCGAGCGGTGGCAACCATATACATTCTTAGGTTGGTTGACTTATATTCTCATAAATGATAACGCTTTGTGTGAGGAGCACAATGATCATGATCATGCAGTTCGACCTGGGTGTGTTGTCAAGTCCCTGGAGGATGCTTTTCGTTACTTGGCTGAGTTAGTGCTTTGGAACCGATCTTTGCTTTGTGCAACATGTGCAGCGCCATCAAACACAGACACGAATAATCACTGCATCCACAAGCTTGGTAATTGTGATCTTGTGATCAGTATCTGCAGTATCACCGGTTTCAGTCTGTCTCACTGCATCACAGTTTCACAGTCTTTGGTCTTTGGTATAAACATATGGTTGGTGTCAGTGGAATTGCGAATGCTAACACTTAGGCTGGCCATCATTCATGCTCCACGAATACTCAAGACATCCTAACATGATTGATCGGAGTCTGGATCATCTAGCCAAAACCTTCGCCGACAGCGACTCCGACTACTCCACTGCGAACCGGTTGGGCACTGATGTATCGACGCTGAGATCCATGCGCTCCCTTGCTGAGAGAATTGGGCTCACCACTATGTCAACGGCTTATTCCGGCATAGATGCACCTGTTACAGGTGTGTTTCAGCTGATTGCAGGCTTGGATGCAGAATATGGTGTGCGAGCAAATCATCCAGAACATTTGCGTGCCATAGAAATCAACAGTCACTGCCAGACAGAACTGTCGCAGCATCCATCAACACCACAGTGTATCT